ACACTTGTAGATCTCACGATCGATCTCACCATCGATCTCACTCAACGGGACACCACGGGGCACCACGGGATCCGCCCGATCCATATCCTTAAACCTTGTGCGGCGTTCCAGCCGCTCGTGCCGACAAGACAAGTGCTTTCCAGCCTTCAGAGATTACGAGAAGATGCTCCAGCCGCCCACGGCGTGGGTTCCAGCCTTCAACTTTTGCGAGGAACAGTGTTCCAGCCGTTCATGCCGGCAACTCCAGCTATTTCTGTAGCTTCTACGAGACAAGCCACAGTCTCGTTTAAAGTATACGAACAGACTTCGTCTAAATTCCCACTGGCAAATTTGTCCACTGACTGACCAGTCAGTGGACTGATGTTGGTAGTGGACTTTGAATTAGCATATATTATCGGGACTGTTTCGGGTCAAACGTCATGTTCTGAAGTTCGTTACGTCTTTAGCCCCTTTGGCTCCATTGGCGCGACTTCAGAGCGCGCTATGGCGCGACGACCGACCGACGACCGACGACCGGACCGAGCGACCGACCGAAACGACCGACCGACGGAAACGACCGACCGACTGTCCGAGACGACGAGGACGAACGGCGACGACCGACGGACCGACCGACCGACCAAGACTACGACGAGCGACGACGCTGCAAAGAAATATGTTCCAGCCGTTCATGCGGACCAGACGAGTGCGCTCCAACCCTAAATTTCGAATGGAAAAGCTACGGCCTCAACGGAAGACGAACACACCTCGCCCAAATTCGCATTGGCAAATTCGTCCACGGACTGTCGGCAAGAAGACCGACAGCACGTCCTTTCATTTGGGACAGAACTCGCTCTCGACGTCGCCGCGGACGATGCCCACTTGAGGCGGAGGGCCGCCTGCCTAGAAGCGGCCGCTATTGCGGACCATCGTACCCATTTTTGTCCGTACCCATGTCGTATGTCCGAAGGAACGACATCACCGACAAGGGGGCCGCGGACTTGGCCGACATGTTGAAGGCTCCCAGATTTTCAGCGGTATGGTTTGTGTCAAACATTCTGGCGGCGTTTCTTCGATCGCAGCCCTCGGCGCCTGTTTTCGGATGATTTCGGGTTCCGGGACCTTTGAAAATGGATCCCGGAGGGGAAGGAGAATCCGTGTTCGGCACCCATGGGAAGGCGGATTGAAACAGTCACATCGGCGGATGTCAGGGCTTGGGCATTGCCAACGATTGCCCTGGGCTTAGGGTGACTCCAGCTTTTTCGGGTAGTTCGGCACAGGTGACCTCCAGAGCGCTCCGCATGAGGCCCAGGAGGTCCCCAGGAGTTCCAGGATGGTGCGGGGCCAGCTTGAGTCCAAGGCAGCTTGAGCCAGGGATGGACTCTGGAACCCAGACCCCGACGCCAAGGCTTTTTCATCACGTCGACCTCCAGAGGTCGGGACCCCTCCCCCGGGACTGGTGTTCCCCCCACCCAGGCTGGGGCTGCTAGATCTGAAGGAAAGAGCTCCCGTCTGCCCCCCCTTGCATACACATGGTTCATTCCCAATTCCTCGAAAGCTCTTTGCTTTTTTGGGGGGGCCACGATCCTTTCATCTCTAATTCTTCTATCCTGGGCCTCTTCCTGGCCACTGGGGTGCCAGGAAGAAGCAGAAACGAGCGCCACTAGAAACGAGCACGATTAGACATGGACGACGTGTACCACGGCCGCCGGACCTCGCGAGACCCCGCGGGAAAACCCTGCGTGGCCTGCCTCCGGCGGCCGCCCTGCCCGTCCTGCCCCCTCCTCCCTGCACGCTGGCCAGCTGTCGCCTCTCTGTGCCCCCGCGTGGGTCGACCGCCGGTGCAGCCACACCTCTGCCTCGCCGCCGAGGAACAAAGAGAGAGTATCCCGCCTCCCGTCCTCCACTATAATGACGACACACCATGCCGCGGTGGCCAGACCCAAGAGGACCCCGGGTGTCCCTGAGTGTCCCGCCTCTTTTCCTCGACGAGTGCCGAAACCCTGCGTACCAGACAGCCCCGAGGGGTAGGCGTCACGCCGTCACGCCGTCACGCCGTGCAGGCGGCACGACGCATGACCAAAGACGCGTGAAGAATCGGCATCAAGAACACAACCGAAACGGACACACATATCATGACAATCATGTTTGACAGCACAAAATGATATATTATGACAGATCAGGGGATCATACGCTGGCTAGATCATGGCATCGCAAATATTGCTCAAGTAGCACACATCATGCCATAACACAGCATGGCGTAGCACGTCGTACCCCTGCATCTAATCGCAAAAGAGAGAGTACCATAGCACAGCAAACCATACTCTGCCATATCGGATCATACCAGAGTATACGATAAGCGAACACATCATCATATAGCATGTGCTCTACGGCTACTGCCACTACGGAAGCAACCATGTTACAGCATACACGAATGACGCAAGTTTGTGTTGTAACATCACACCACAATGTAGCACAATCACATATATCGAACTTTGCAGCACATAAGCATGCATACCCGAACACAGCATGCCATAACATAGCATACCAGTATTGAACGTCATAGCATCGCACAGCACCGTATAACGCATCCTACTATCACATAGCACATCATACCGTGGCAGAGCGCGGCGCATCAGAGTACGACATGACACGGCATAGCAGAACATAGCAGCATTGTTCGATGATTGCTACCACCACGGCAGCGACTTCAACATAGCATTATCTGGTTCAACATAATTATAGACGCTTCGCGCAACCCCACCAGCCATTCCAGAAACGATGCCCAGACGAGTTGCCCTGATCAGGTATGTGGGGGAGAATGCAGTGGAGTAAAGGGCTCGGTGAGACGTCGTACCCCAAGAGAGGGAGCATCGAGGAGGAATCGGAGGAGGAGCAGGAGGAGGACGAGGAGGACGAGGAGGAGGAGGACGAGGAGTAGGGAGAGGGGGAGGGGGAGCAGGGAGGAGGGAGGAGGGAGGAGGCGGAACAGGCGGACGAGGAAGAGGAGGAGGAGGAGGAGGAGGAGGAGGAGGAGGAGGAGGGCGAGCAGAACGACTAGAGGCCTCTTGGATGCCTCTCGGAATCTCTTCGGCATAATTTCAAACATTTCTTGGAGTCCTCTTGGGGCGTCTTGGGGGTCTCTTGGCAGTCACTGGGGCCTCTTGGGGCATCTTGAGGCATTTTGGGTGCCTCTGGGGGGCCTCCTGAGGCGTCTTTGAGGCATCTTGGGGGCCTCTTCAGGGCATCTTTGGGGCCTCTTGGAGGTCTCTTGAGGCCTCCTGGGCACCTCCTGGAGCCGTTTTGGGTCATCCTTGGAGGTCTCGGAGGCCATCTTGGAGGAGATCGATCAAAGGAGGGGGGCTTCTTAATTCGATCCCCCCCCCCTGGAGGCCACACTCTGGCCAAAACTTTTTGTGTAAAATCAATGATTCTGGCTTCCTCGTAACCCCTCGCGATGCGCCCCGTCCAGACCCACGGGGAGGGGGCAGGGGGAGGGGTGAGCGGATCCCCGAAGGGGAAGGAGGTGGGTTGGAAGAGGAAAAACGCTCTAAACCTCTCACGCTCAGAGGGCTGGGGGGGATTCTCGGGGGTGGACAGAACCCCCAACAGTGACACGTCGATTAGTGAATTGTCCGTTTTCGGTTTTCGAGAGGGCGCCGTGGCCGTTGTTTTCCAGGCTTGCGCCCGCCAGGTTTGGGCCTCAGGTCGTTTTCACTAAACCACGTTTTACTAAAGGGGGGTCTGTCCATCCCCGAGATTCCCCAGACATGATTATTCGTTGCTCTACGGGAATTGGCCCTGGCTGCCGGTCGGGCGGCCCGGCGGTCGCCGTCGCGGCCCCGTCGCCGCCCGTGGTCTGGGACCTGGCTGCCGGGCTGGCGGCTCCGTGGTCGCTGTCGCCGCCGCCCCAGCGCCGCCTCCCTCCGGGTCCGCCCTACTTTGGGGAAATTCGTGGGTAGGGCCCGGAATTTCCGCCCTACTTTTCAAGCCCCGCTGATGCCAATTTCCGCCCTACTTTGCTGTTGCTGTTTCCGCCCTGCTTCTGTGGAGTTCCGCCCCACTGTATGTGGGGTGCAGAAATTACCGCCCTACTGTTTCGGCCTCTTATAGGTGTATTTCCGACGCAATTTTAAGTTGGAAACACAGCCAGAGTAGGGCGGATCCGGAGTCGGGGTTGTCGCCGCCCGGGGTCTGGTCCCGGCTGCCTTTGACGGCTCCGTCGCCGCATCGACGCCGCCCCGCCGCCTACGTAGATTCTCCGGTCTCAGAAGGAACTCGGATTCACCACCCCGGAGGTCGGGATTGTCGGTCCCCCCTGAGGATGTGCAGTTTACATATATGATAATTGCCAATCGTTCATACTGAATATGAGGTCATACCATCCCAGCCAAGCCAGGTCGACCCCCCCCCAAACATCCTCTGCAACGGAAACTTTGCGTGCACTTTCTCGTTTATTCGAAATCAGCATGTTGCATGAATCCCTTGCGGAACACAGGGCGAAGTGCACACGTGCGCGTCGACGCGCGCGCAGGCCGAAACCTTCAAGGAAATTATCCCAGTGCGACCCTACCTAGGAGTTGGAGCCTCTGGGAAAGCAGCATTAGTAGGAGCGGTAAACACCGTCCTCCTCCTTCTCCGCATCGTCGTAGTTGTAGCAGTAGCGGTAGTAGTAGTAGTAGTAGTAGTAGTAGTAGTAGTAGTAGTAGTAGTAGTAGTAGTAGTAGTAGTAGTAGTAGTAGTAGTAGTAGTAGTAGTAGTATAGTAGTAGTAGTAAGTAGAAGTAGTAGAGTAGTAGTAGAAGTAGAAGTAGTAGTAGTAGTAGTAGTAGTAGTAGTAGTAGTAGTAGTAGTAGTAGTAGTAGTAGTAGTAGTAGTAGTAGTAGTAGTAGTAGTAGTAGTAGTAGTAGTAGTAGCAGTAGTAGCAGTAGCAGTAGCAGTAGCAGTAGCAGTAGCAGTAGCAGTAGCAGTAGCAGTAGCAGTAGCAGTAGCAGTAGCAGTAGCAGTAGCAGTAGCAGTAGCAGTAGCAGTAGCAGTAGCAGTAGCAGTAGCAGTAGCAGTAGTAGCAGTAGCAGTAGCAGTAGCAGTAGCAGTAGCAGTAGCAGTAGCAGTAGCAGTAGCAGTAGCAGTAGCAGTAGCAGTAGCAGTAGCAGTAGTAGCAGTAGCAGTAGCAGTAGCAGTAGCAGTAGCAGTAGCAGTAGCAGTAGCAGTAGCAGTAGCAGTAGCAGTAGCAGTAGCAGTAGCAGTAGCAGTAGCAGTAGCAGTAGCAGTAGCAGTAGCAGTAGTAGTAGTAGTAGTAGTAGTAGTAGTAGTAGTAGTAGTAGTAGTAGTAGTAAAAGAAGTAGTAGTAGTAGTAGTAGTCGTAGTGGTAGTAGCGCCAGAACCGCCGACGCCACGCCGTAAGTGAAGCAGCAGCAGAAGCAGGCAGCAAGTCGCCGAGATAGCAGCAAAAGCAAGCAGGCACGGAGATGAGGGCGGGGCACAGGGGAGTTCTTTACATCTACATCTATATCTACACCTACATCTACATCTAGACCTACATCTACATCTAGACCTACATCTACATCTACACCTACAGCTACATCTACATCTAGACCTGCATCTACATATATATATCTACATCAACAGCGAGACTCACATCTACATCTACACCTACATCTACACATACATCTACATCTACATCTACAGCTACACCTACATCCACATCTACACCTACAACTACATCTACATATACATCCACACTTCCGCATTGGTTTTGCTTTTGCTTTGCATTGCCTTTGCTTTGACTCTTGCCTTTGCTTTTGCCTTTGCCTTTGCTGTTGCTGTTGCTTTTGCTTTGCTTTTGTTATGGTTGTTGCTTGGTTTTGGTTTTGCTTTGCCTGCGCACAGACGCACACACACGCATGTGTTTGCATTCGCTCACCGGGTGTGCTTGAGAGAGTACACATATATATAGCAGCAACAATAGTGGATGCTGTGCTGCGCTATGCTCTGCTATGCTATGCTATGCTATGCTATGCTATGATATGCTATGATATGCTGCGCAAGTCTATGCTGGGCTAGGCTAGGCTAGGCTATGCTATGCTATGCTGCGCTATGCTAGGCTGCGCTATGCTATGCTATGCTGTGCTGTGCTATGCTATGCTATGCTATGCGTTTGGTTTGCCTTCGCTTTTGCCTTCACTTTTGCCTTTGCGTTTGCTTTTGCTTGGCACCCGGGGAACGCAACTGGGGGAACCGCGCGTTTGCTTTTACCTTTGCTGTTGCTTTTGCTTGGCTCCCAGGGGACTGGGGGAACCGCCCGGGGCGGTTTCCACTGCCCGGCCCCTTTAAGCCAAGAGAGTCAGAACCCTTCTAGGCAGAGCCTAGGTAGGGAATTAAGTTTCGCAAGAATTTCAAAATCGCGTGCCCCAGAAGCATCTAAAACACACATGGCATTTGCCAAGGTCTGCACGCGTTTGCGAATTCTTGAGAAAGCCATAGGATTACAATTTGTTTCATCAAGTGCGACCAAACGTGCCTCTCCCGCGAGGCATGCCGAAATCATTCGAACGCCCTTGCGCATGTGCTGTTGGTGGGCACGATCCCTGTCAATTAATACCATGCGGGCCACTCGCGCCCGTCGGCTGCGAGCGCATGTCGGAATCCATCTAATTTTTTCATCGCCGACGCGTGGACGCCATCATCGGCATCGGCGTTATCAGCATCGGTGCCGTCATTGGCCTTGCCGTGTCAGCGTAATCGTCGTCACCAGCATCGCTACTATCATCATCGTGTCTGCCATTGTCGACGTCGCCATGATACCGCGCCCGCCCAAGCCGCCGACTTGCACTGAAGCGCCCGCGCGTCAGCGCGGCCGGCGAGACGCGCTTGGAAGTGCCCAGCGGTCGGCGCCACCGCGGCCGCGTCGGTCGCGCTTGACTAGCTGGCCGCTCTGCGCGCGAGCCTGCGCGCGCTAGCGCGGCCGCAGTGATCCGCCAGCCAGCGCCAAGCAGTCACCGCAATCTCCACCGCAGGGGTTTTGCAAATTCGGTTGCGGTGGGTGGGTGGGTGGGATGATTGCGCGAGGAATGGAGTTGACAATTTCTAGATCGGTAGGGTAAATAGCACCACGTCGGTTGCACCACATCTCTTGTTTCTAACATTGACTGCACAACATATTATCCATCACACCAGTTGCACCAGGCAGGTAGCACAACATAGAGTGCACCCCATTAGTTGTATCACATAATTTGTGCCACGTAAACTGCACCACATAAATTGAACTGCGGAGACTGCACCACATAGATCGCGCCACATAGACTGCACACAGCTGATTGCGAAAGATCGGTTCCACAACAGAAAAGCATCACACAGGATGCACAACATATATTGAACCACATATACAGCACCACATCGACTGAAACACGTAGGTCGCACAGTATATATATATATATATATATATATATATATATATTGCACCACCTATATGGCACAACCTCTATATAGACATACACATGTATAGCACAACATCGATTGCACAACATAGGCTGTTCCACATGGCAGGTACACCGCATTTTGCTAGAAGCAAGCTGATTTGGGCCCACGTTGGCTAACAAGCAATCATAATATCCATCATATATCATACCGTACCGAACTTTAGTACAATCGGGAAACATATCATTTAATATAACAGAGCAGGGCAGAGAGTATCATACGAATGTATTGCAGCACATGTTTTAGAACCTTAGCAGAGAGGGGGAGATATCATATCCAGCTGCCTGCGGCAAGCCCCGCGGCCGCGCCTGTGCAACAGCGCTGCAGGAAGGAGGCTCAGTGTAGAAACAGCGCAAATCCGACGAGTGGTCTGATGAAAACGGTTCGTGAAGTCGACCTTGTCATCGTCCGTGCGGTGGGAAGGAAGTCCAGTTCACACCCCGTGGCAGTTCAGCGAGTGGTCTGATGTTGGGACGGTCGTGATTCCGACATCGTTTTCGTCCGCGCGGTAGGGGGGATGTGGAGGATGAGAAGGGGGAGGGGGAGGAGGAGGAGGAGGAGGAGGAGGAGGAGGAGGAGGAGGAGGAGGAGGAGGAGGAGGAGCAGGAGGAGCAGGAGGAAGACGAGGACGAAGAGGAGGAAGAGGAGGAGGAGGAGGAGGAAGACGAGGGAGACGAGGAGGAGACGGAGCAAATGAGGACAATGAGGGTAAAGCTTCTGGGTGCCCTCTTTGGGCCTCCCAGGGGCTTTCTGGGAGCCCCTTGGGGGGCCTCTTGGGGGCCCCATGGGATCCTCCTGGGGCCGGCCAAGGGACCTCTTGAGGCGTCCTGGGTTGTATTAGGGAGGCGATTGGCCCGTCTGACGCCTTCGGAGGCCGTTTTGGGGGCCTCTCAGAGCCAGCTCTGGGGTCCCTCTTGGGGGCCTCTGGGGGGCAGCCTTGGAGCCATTTTGGAAGCCCCTTGGGCTGTCTTGGGCGGCCAGAAGCCTAGATAGGCAAGAACCCCAAAATGCTTCAAGCATGGACGGTAAGTACATTGTTTGGTCCTCGGGAGGGCCTCTTGGAGCCCTCTCGTGCCGTCTTGGGGCTGTCTTCAGAGCCTCTTGAGCCGTCGTTGGCGCTCTAGAGCCATTTGGGTGTAATCTTGGCTACATGAGAAGCTGTCCTGGAGGCCACACTGGCCGTTCGGAGGCCACATTTCTGAGGGAACGATTTCTCGACCACGCGCAGGCGCCGGGGGAGAGCTGGCCGTAGCAAACATCAAAAACCTCCAAGACAACAGACGAGCATTCTAACACGCCCGCTCCGCGTAGGCACGGCGGTGGATATCTGACGACGACACAGCACAGCACGTCAGAGAGAGCGAGCTCTGTGGACGCTTCGAACTGGGGTTCTAAACGGGCCCCCTTCCACCCGCTCTGAATTGCAGGGGAGGGCGGGGTTCGAACGAAGGGTGGGGGCCCCGCCCCCAGCAGGGAGGACGGGTGGTTCGAACCCGGGTTGCAGGGGGGGGGGGTCGAACTGGGGGGCCCCACCGACGATGGCGAGCGCCAGCGCCGAGCGCCAGCGCCGTCGGGCAGCGGTGGCGACGATGACGACGAGCGAGCCGTAGTATGCATGAAGGTTGCATCGAGCCTGAGCAGGATTCAATTCGAGCACGATCTATTCAAGTGGAGGTGGATCCAGCTGTAGTCGGATGCCCGCAGTGTTGGACCGGGTCCAGGTAGGATGCTATGAACGTTTGGTCCAGCTGTACTTGAATCGTATCAGAGCTGTACCGGGCTCGAGCAGGATTCTATTAGAGCTGTATCCAAGTGTATTCGTATTCTCGTCGTTTTGGATCGAGCCTGACTGCGACACCATGACAGTCAGATCTGGCTTATTAAAGCTTGATCGACCACTAATAGGACTCTACGTATGAGGGGGTGGAGGGGGGGCCAGTTCGACCCCCCCCCCCCCAGGTTTGATCCCCCCTTGGAGAGGTGGGGGCCCCACCTCCCCTGTCCGATGAGAGAGGCCGATGTCCAGGGGGGGCTGGTTTTCCTGTCGCTCTGAATGTTTTGTACCCCCCGTTCCGAGCTGTCCGAATAATTGGCCAAGAAGGCGTCCACGAAACGCGTACTCTCGCACGCCATCAGGGAAAGTCAAACAAGCAGAACACACCATACATGTCGTATATTGCGCTGTCATGAGATTGCGGATAAGAGAGTAGTACAGAACATCACAGGAGTGAAATGTCAGAAACAGAGTGCAATGCCAGAACACTAGAAGAGTCTCTACGAGCGGAGTGTGATTCCGAGACCAGGATGTTATCGACTATCCAGTTTTGAACAGAATAGGGCAGAGCCTATCCGAACACAGTCAAACACACTATGGCATACCAGTTCATATAGTGCTGCGCAAAGTAACATCGCATGTCTTGGTGGTGCATTCCGACCAGTTGAACACAACACAACATAGCATGACAATAGCACGGGATATAGTATTACCTCGCGTAATTTAGCGTAACAGAGCCGACATCATCAGCGACCGATTGACGGCGTCCTCTCAAACGCAGCGTGCGCGTCGGGGTCAGGCTGGCCACAGGAACACAGGAGCGCGGCAACGACCGATAGGGAGAGGCGTCACCACGTAAGGCTGGCCCGTCCAGAGCAGAGCAAAACCAGCAATAATAGAGTACACCTTAGGCGATGCTTAAGAAAACCTAAGTTTTCGGCCAGGGTCTTGATTATTCTTAACTTTTCAATGTAAATCCCAAGATTCTGATAGAAGTTCTGGGTTTTTATTCCAGCTCTGAGACTATGAATTTCTTAACCCATGATTTCTTAAGCATTTCGCAGGGTGTACAGTAGAATAGGCCATGAGTGAATCAGAGCATAGTTGAAGGCTGCCGAAGACAGCAGAGACTGATCAATGGCGCCCTACCAACACACAGCATGCGAGCCAACGTAAGGCTGGCCATAGGAACTCACCAGATACGGGAAGCACAGAACAGGACGTCATGTGAGCGCAGAATGCAGCATTGACCAGGTAACGGTGTTTTATCAGACGCGACATGCGCGCCGAGGTCAGGGTGGCCACAGCAACAAACAATACCACACTCGGGAGCAAGCGCCGAAAGTTCCGGTGGGGATCGCTAGAAACGAAAGAACTCATGCGGGGTATTTTTGTTGACGGTCCTTGGGCCCGGAGCCCTCAGAGGCCGAAGACAAGTCCAAACCGTTTGTCGTGATTTTTTCATGACCCCAGGGGGCTTGGGAAAGGTGAACACCGTGCTGAAGGAGCTCCAGCTCGACGGCAACTACATCGGGGACGAGGGCGGTTGGGCGCTCGCCGATGCCCTGGAAGTCAACACGGGGCTCCAGGCACTGTGGCTTGTGAAGAATCCGCTGGGGAGCCACGCAAGGGACCGCCTCTCAAAGGTCCTCCAGACGAGCACCACGATCAAGCGGCTCGGAATGACCGCCCACGTGCGACCAGAGCTCTTGAGGGACATGGAGGCGACACTGCAGAAGCGCTCGCAGGCCGGTGAGGCTTCGGATTGCGCACAGGCAGCTCCCCCAGGTAGTCCCGGCTGGCCGCAACCACCCCCCGAGCAGTCCGAGCAGTCCACCAGGAGGAGGAGGGAGGAGGAGGAGGAGGAGGAGGAGGAGTGAGAAGGAGGAGGAGGAGGAGGAGGAGGAGGAGGAGGAGGAGGACGAAGGACGGGGAGGAGGAGGGAGGACGACGACGATGATGGCGGTCTTGACACCTCAACCCTGGGGCGCGGAGCGCCCTGGGGACGCCGCCCGTGGCGGCGCCAGGGTGTCGAGACCGCCCCGAACTATTCGAGGGCCCTGTTGAGGCCAGCTGGGACTGGGGAGGAGCACGATCTCCTAAACTCCGACGTTGCGAGCAACATTCACCATCGCCGAAAGACACGACTGGAGCCCTAGACCCCATCTCTCTGTGTTGCAGTTTCTAGCCGGATCGACTTGTGATGGCGCCAGGACCCGAAACCGGGCGGAACCCCCAGGTGTGATAGGTTTGCAACACCAGCGCCCAGGGGGAGACCAGCACGACGCTCAGGGAGAGACCGGCATGGCGTCGTTCTACGACTTTGCGGCGGCCTTTTCTTCGATCGAACATGCTTTCTTCTTTCAGTTCTCCGCCAAGCTGGGATGGCCACGATGGTTGCTCGACGCCGTCGGCATTCTGTATTTTTGGACAATACGTGCGTCATCCAGACTCACGGCGAGAATGTCTCTGGATTCTCGATCTAAGTCGCGGGATCAGACAGGAGGAGGAGGAGGAGGAGGAGGAGGAGGAGGAGGCGGAGGAGGAGGAGGAGGAGGAGGAGGAGGAGGAGGAGGAGGAGGAGGGGAGGAGGAGGAGGAGGAGGAGGAGGAGGAGGAGGAGGAGGAGGAGGAAGAGTAGGAGGAGGAAGAGGAGGAGGAGGAGGGCTGCCCCCTGTCCCCACTTTTGTTCGCCATGGGCACCGACCTTCTGCCACGTCGTCTTCGGCGCGTGGCCCCGGCTGCGCTGCCGCGCGCGTGGGCAGACCTCTCCGTGGTGTTGCGTGCCAGTCTCGATTGGCTGGGGACCCCCCAGACCTCCTCGCGTCGTGAAAAAAACACGACGGAGGTTTTTCGCTATTTTCGGCCTCCGGGGGCCCTTCCCGGGCCTCGGGACCGTCAAAAAACGACTCAGGACGAAAAACCGGTCCCGGGGAATGGGTCTGGACCTCTGGGGGTCGCGTCATGAAAAAATCATGACGTCGGGGGTCTGGGCCTGAAGACGTTTTTCGTGGAGTTCGAGGCGGTGTCCGGGCTCACGCCGAATATCCAGAAGACGAGCCTCGCGCCCCTGTGCCGGCACGGCGAGCAGGAGTTGCGCGCGCAGGTAGCGGACATGGCGCCCAAATGGCCCGACGTTCCCTCTGAAGCTGCCGCCAGCGTTCCATGTGAAGCTGCCGCCAAGTATTTCGGATTCTTCGTTGGGCCAGGCCGGGCCACCTTCTCTTGAGACAACCCGTTGGCTGATCAGAAAGAGCGGGCCCGCATGTGGGGCAAGCTGGAAATCTGGCTCTGTCTCGCGATGCAAGCATACAGGGTGTACGTTTGTCCGGTCTTCTTTTTTGTTGCTCAGCTCGAGGACTTTCCGCCGAATTTGAATGGGTTTGAGACGACGGTTTGCCAGGCGTTGTGCCCAGGCCCGCGGGGGTGGATCACCCTTCGCTGTCTCAAGGACCTGGCAGTTTGAAGCTCCCAAATGAGCTGCCCGACTTGGCCGCGACAGCGTTTGCCGCCAAGGCGAGAGTGGCGATTTTTGAGAATCGCGCGCGAGGCGGTCCCAACGTCCATGCGCGCGCGGCCGCGATGCTGCCCGCCGTGCGTTCCAGCTGCTCGCTCGGCCACGTGTGTTGGTGGAGACGGCGGGCGGGGCAAAACTTCTCGTCCAAATTGGCGACGGCCGAGTGCGCCCTCCGTGCCAAGACGGTCGACCTCCGTGCGAGCATTTTGTCTGGCCCGCGGCGGCAGGGCTGACAAGGTCGAGTGGCCGCCGTTTCTCGCACCGCGCCTCGGTGCTCGGCGCACTTGTATCTGCGACTTCGGCTGGCCCGTTGGCAGGTGAGCACGCCGCCCGAGCGCCGGGCCGCACGCGACACGAAGGTTTCCGGGCTGCTGGATTGCAGCGCGCCGCCATCTGCAACGGATGGTGCACGCACCGCCGTCTTCAGGGGTCCGGCAAGTGCGTTTTTGGCTCCGGCCGCTGCGAGGACAGCCTTGGGCATGATGCTGCACGGTGCAGCGTTGCTAGCAGCATGTTAGTGCCAGTTCTGATTGGCCTGCCGTGGATGCGGCTCGGGCGCTCGATTCTTGTCCATGTGCGTGCGGCCGAACACCGGCCAGGCGGAACAAAGGGAGGAGTCCACCTCCTTCAGCGAGCTCCTGCCCTCTACGCTCTCTGTCGCCTGCAGAACGGCATCCGACACGGATCTTTCACCTCTCAGGAATATCTTGGGGCTTGCCACAGTTGCCTCCGGGAGGCGTCGCGGTAGCTGTGGTTCTCGTTTCTGTCATTTTCCCGCTTCCTCCTCCTCCTCTTCCTTCTCCCCGCCCCCTCCCGGAGGGTGGCCGGGGCGTTCGTGGACCCCCAATTGGCCCTTTGAGGGGCCCAACGGGCGCTGACTGGCCCCCTGGGGTTCCGAAGCCGGCGCGGGTTTTACATTTTCCTTCCATATCGGGGCCGGTGTTGTGTCCCCTTTGCGTCGGTTGGGGGGCTCTCTTTGTGGACCTCTTGGTGCCGTTTGGGCCTTCCTCGGGGCCACTTGGGCAGTCTGGGGGTGATTGCGGTGTCCTCGCTTCGATCTTTGCTTCAAGAACAAAAAAAAGAAAAACGATGAGAAGAACAACAACATAAACCACGCCCGGATCTCAAGGTCGGCGGGCCTGTTGAGGCCAGCCTGGGCTACTTGGGGGGGCCGTGTGTGCGCAGACCGATGCCTTGCCGTTCCAGGCGGCAGGCGAGGCAGGGGCCGCCTCCGCGGCGGCGGTCGGCGGGCGCAAGGCCGCGCGCTGTGCGGGGGTGACGCTGGAGCAGCTGGAGGGGGAGGATCGGGCACTGCAGATAAGCCGATTCCCTGACTCCGGATCTCACCACCCACCAAACCACCCCAACCCAACCCGAAGGCTCGGATTTACCCTCGATTTCCCGTGGGGGGGGGGTCGGGGAACATCGAAAAGACACGTGTGGAACCCTTACCCCCCCCCCAACCCGAAATTCGGGTCTTCGGGTTGGGTTGGGGTGGTCTGGTAGGTAGTCAGGATCCGCCCTACTTGGGGGAATTCGTAAGTGGGGCTTGGAATTTCCGCCTCACCTTTCAAGCCCCGCTGATGCCGATGTCCGCCCTGCTTGCCTGTTGCTGTTTCCGCCCTACTTCTGTGGATTTCCGCCCTACTTTATGTCGGGTGCAGAAATTTCCGCCCTTCTTTTTCGGCTTCTTATAGGTGGATGTCCGACGCAAGTTTAGGTTGGACAAAAAACAAAGTAGGGCGGATCCGGAGTCTGGGTTGGGGAAGTCTGCGCCGGCCCACTCGACATTGGCAGTCGAGTGTGCTGGTGCGGTCCGCAGGCCGCAGTCGGTTTCGCTCAGCGACGCGTTCGTTTCGCCAGGTGCCATCGGCTGTTCGGGTCGTCGGCTATAGCTACCCCCCGCCAGGGTGCAGTCGGGATGCGGCCCGTGCGCACGTGGAGTGCCCCTGGCAGCTCTTATTAAGTACTCCAGATTTCGTATTCAAGGGAGGGGGGTCTCATTTCGGGGGGGGTCTCTTCCAGGCTATCTTGGAGGGCCTGGGGGGTCTGGGGACGATGTTTTGGAGGGTTCACCCACGGGGGAGGTCTGAAATGGCTTGTCTTGGAGGGTCCAGACCCCCTCCCTTTTATTACGAAATCTGGAGTAAATGGCGTGTTGCTAAACGGGGTTCTGTCCACCCCCGAAAGGAGAGCCACGTCGACTTCGTGAACCTCGACGCTGCCGCCATACGGGCGGCGCTGGTGAGGGACGTGCAGGAGATCGGGGAGGGACAAGATTTTGAACACCCAGACAGCCGACGCCATGAGTTGTTCATGCAGTCGACCCCCAGCGGTCTCGACCCACCCCTCGGACCCGCGTTTCGTCCCGAGTCGTTTTAGACGGTCCAGGGGCTCTGTAAGCTGGAGAATGGACCGAGACTTTTGAGGGTCGACGTTTTGACAAACAAAAGCATGACGTGGGGGGGTTGGGGTCAACGTTCTGAAAGAAATTACAGCGTCGGGCACTACAATTTCTGCACACCAGGCGTTTTCGCCAGGTTTCGGTCGCCGATCGGTCCGGCTCGGCATGCAGCAGGAAGGTATGGGATGTCTGGTCCAGGGCTCCGTGCGTAGTTTTTCGGCGTTGCAACTTTTTCGCAGCGTCGGGTCACAGGGCCGTCTAAATTTTGTATGACCAGGGAGGGGTTCACAATCCTCCCAGACCAGCAGTTCCAGACCCCCCGCAGACGAGCCATGACACGGCGGCTTTTTTTTTGTTTGCCCAAAGCACCCTGGAACCCCCCAAGACAGCTCCAAGCAGACCCCCCCCAAACAGACCACCCCTCCTTTGATTGTGGAAGGAGGGGGAGGAGGATACGACATTAGCTGGAGCGGGCGCGCGGTGCACTTCCCGACATAGATAGGGAGGAGGAGGAGGAGGAGGAGGAGGAGGAGGAGGAGGAGGAGGAGGAGGAGGAGGAGGAGGAGGAGGTGTGGCCCTCCTTAATCTGGCGTGGACGCAGACGTTCGGAGGTCCGCGCGGACTTCTCGGGTCGGCATTGGGCTCCTCCCCTTGTGGCGCAATCGGGCGCCGCCCCCCTGGCGCCCGATGCGCGCGTTCCGGGGGTGGGGGGCCCAGGTCGGGAGGGAAAGGAACACGCAGCCGCGATCCATCGTCGATTCCCCAGAAGATATGGGAAGATATGGGAAGTGGGGGGGAGGCAAAAACCCAGAAAAGGTGGGAAACTACAGGGAATATTGTTATATCTGTGCCTACTTATTTTTGTGTGTCTGAGGGCCCCTTCACCAAGGCCGATCCAGGAGGTCCACGCGGCCCTCCGGGAGCTGTCCGTTCCCAGACCTCCGACGGCGTGCTTATTTCCCAGCGTGGACCCTGGAGTTAGGTCGGGCCTGTTCCTCTACAGGAGGAATGTGCAAAAATGGTCGAAAAATAGTCTGGGGATTAATTTTGGATGTTCTTTACTATTTAGGGGTAGTTTTTTGGTATTTCCAAAATTTGGCATTGGGATAGTTTTTTGGTGTTTCCAAATCTTATTCCAATATTTCCAACATATTGTTGTGTATCGCAATTTTGATGTATTTTCGATTATTTGGCACAAAATCCCCCTCTAGGAGGACATGCCCGACCTAACCCTGGAGGTCCGGACCTGTTCCTTGGGATCGGCTTTCGTCATCGCCCGCTTTTTGATGGTCCTGGGCCCAGTGGGGGCCCACAGGGGGCTCAAAGAAAAAGGCGAATCCCTCCCGGTGTGGTGATTGTTGTGGCGACTCCAGGAGGTGGGGGTCTTTGCAGACGACATTGCGAAAAAGTTGCAACATCGCGAAACATCACCAGAGGCCTAGATTCCATCTTTCTGTTGCATTTTTTGAGCAGGATCGATCTGAGTTGGTCCAGGGGCCCGAAACTGGCCGAAGACGCCCAGTGTGATTAAATGCAACGCCCCGATATCAGGGTCGATCCTCGACTTCCAGTCGGTTTTTCATCCCGCGAGTCGTGTTCTGACGGTTCCGGAGCTTGGCGAGGGCCCCCGGAGGCCGAAAAATGACAAACATTTCTTGTCGTGGTTGATGTCAAGACGCGAGCTTGTTTGGGGATCTGTTCATAATTCTAGAATCTAGAAGCTTCGCGTAACCCCACCTGTCTATCCAGAAATGATGCCCAAACAAGTTGCCACGATCAGGGATGTGGAGGAGAATGCAGTGGAATAAATGGCTGGGTAAGACGTCGCACCCCAAGAGTGGGAGGATGGAGGAGGAATCGGATGAGGACCAGGCGAAAGAATAAGAGGAGGAGGAGGAGGAGGAGGAGGAGGAGGAGGAGGAGGAGGAGGAGGAGGAGGAGGAGGAGGAGGAGGAGGAGGAGGAGGAGGAGGAGGGAGGGGAGGGGAAGGGGGAGGGGGAGGAAGAAGGAAGCACGAGGAGGAGGAGGAGGAGGAGGAGAGCGAGCAGAAAGGCCAGAGGCCGCTTGGATGCCTCTCGTAGTCTCTCTTCGGAATTCTTTCGAGAGTTTCTTGGAGTCCTCTTGGGGCGTCGTGGGAATCTCTTGGCAGTCCCAGGGGCTTCTTGAGGCGTCTTGGGTGCCTCTGGGGGGCCTCTTGGAGCCTCTTGGGGGTCTCTCGGGAGCCCCATGGGGGCACCTTGGGGGCATCGTAGGGGCCTCCTGGGGCCTCCTGGGTACCTCTTGGGGCCTCCTGGTGGGCCTCTCGGGGCCGTCTTGGGGCACCTTTGGGAGCCTCGGGGCCATCTCGGGGCCATCTTGGAAGAGATCGATCAAAGGAGGGGAGCTTCGTAACGAGCCCCCCGAGGAAGGCAACATGTCGCCAATACCTCAGAAAAATAAGTGCCTCTCGGGGGCCTCTTAGAGCGTATTTAGAATCTATTGGGAGCCTCTTGGGGGCACCTTGGGCGCCTCTTTGGGGCCTCTTGGAGCCTCCTGGGCACCTCTTGGGACGCTCTTGGGGCACCATTGGGAGCCTTAGGGGCCATCTTGGGGCCATCTGGGAAGAGATCGATCAAAGGAGGGGGCTCCTTAATTAGGCCCCCCCGTCCAGGAGGTCGACATGTGGCCAACACCTGTGTAAGCTCAGTGATGTTGGCCTTCTCGCCAAGGCCCCGTGGGGCGTCTTCGGGTGCCTCTCGGGGGCCTCTTGGTGCGTCTTGGGGGTCGCTTGGGGGCCTCTTGGGGACATCTCGGGGGATTCTTGGGGCCTCCTGGGCACCTCTGGGGGGCATCTTGGGGCAGCCATGCATCTTGACGGAGATCGATCAAAGGAGGGGTGCATCAATGATGTTGGATTCCGCACCGAGGCTATCTTGGGCGCTCCAACGACCCGCGATCCCCCCTCCAAACCCAGGGGCAGGGGGCGGGGGAGGGGTCTAGACACGTTCCCCGCCCGCAAGCTGCCTCGCTCATTTCCACCCGCCTTCCCAGCACAGGAGTAGCACCCGAGCCTCAGCATGTTCAGCGATTGCTTATGGATGGGCAGCTACTGGAAACCACGTGCGCGACGCTGGGGCGAGATGCGCCACGCGTGCCAGGCGCCCCACGCCCGCCAGGTGCGCCAGGCACCCCTGGGACCCAAGTGTGCCAAGCACGCCTGGCGCGCCGGATGCGTGTCGCATGGTCCAGCCGCGCCAAGTGTGCCACGTTCGGGACGCGCGCAGAGTGTGCCAGGTGCGCCTGCGCACTTGACAAACAGCACACGTCGGGAAACGTGTCGGCTCCATTATCCGTTTCGAAAATCAATGCGCCATGGCGGTGGGGAGGCCGTCATGATGTCTGGTGGGCCTGCACACAGCAGGCAGCGTGCCAGCGTTCCCGCCGTCTCCATCAAAAACCAATGGACACAGATCGCGGGGTGGCCGCGCACAGTCCAGGTTCTGCCACAGCACTTCGTATTGTTTTCACATGGATGGAGGCCTTGCCCGCAGCAGGCAATATGAGGCCCCCCTTCCGCCGTCCCTGTCAACAAACGATACAAAGTGCTCGCGGGACCCACGAGCATGACCCAAGATTTTGCTCCAAAGTGCGTTGCGCATTGTTTTGACAGGGGTGGTGGGGGGTGCTGGCACTGGTCCTGGTTGGCTGCTGGTCGCCTGGTGAAGGGGGTGTTTATTAACAGGGAACCGTGATTAACCCCTCCCCTAAGGGGAAGAAGGGGGGGCTGGAAGAGGAAACGCTCTAGACCGCTCACGCCCAGAGGTCTGATGGGACTGGGTGGTGGCCCCCCGTGGCGATGCGCTGGGGTGGCAGATGCACTCGGCAGCAACTGCTGGGGGGCCTTGCACGTCCTCGCTTCGAGAGGGCATCAGCCTGCGCTCGCGTGTGGCAAACACTGGGATCGTGCCTGTTCAGCGCCGACTGGAGTCGAGCCAACGCCGCCCTGCGGCAGAAAAGCGTCGACTCGCAGGAAGCCAGCAGGACGACGCGGGAGCCTGCCAGAGGTCGACCCCCCGGAGGCCTCGACCCCTCTGACGGCGCCGGTTTTTTTTTTCATGCACGTTGGCGGAAGAGCTCCCGGGGGCCGGGCGAGGGCCCCCCCAGAGGCCGAGGACAGTTGAGCACCTCCCGTCGCGATTTTCCTCACGGAGCGGGGGGGGGGATCTGCGCCCCCCCCGTCCTCCTCCTCCTCCTCCTCCTCCTCCTCCTCCTCCTCCTCCTCCTCCTCCTCCTCCTCCTCCTCCTCCTCCTCCTCCTCCTCCTCCTCCTCCTCCTCCTCTCCTCCTCCTCCTCCTCCTCCTCCTCCTCCTCCTCCTCCTCCTCCTCCCCCCCCCCCCCTCCTCCTCCTCCTCCTCCTCCTCCTGGGAGGACGAGTGGCAAGCGGGGGCGGGTGAGCGGCACAGCAAGGCGGCTTCGGCTGCGCCGGTCTCGACGCGCAGGTGGCCCGCGCAGGGTCGCGCGGTAAGCGCCCGCGGGGCTCCCCTGCGGCGCGCCCCGCTGGCGGCCCGCGCAGGTCACCGCGTGCGGTCGTCGTAATGGCATCCCGCGCAAGACCCGCTTCTGCTCGTCGCTCAAAGGGGCGACGTTCTCGAAGATGCAGGCCGACCCACGTCGATTGGCGTCTGTTGATGTCGGCCCGCGGGGGCCGACACGATGACGTGGGAGGCTCCCGCGAGGTTCCCCAGCAGGCGCAGACGCCCCCCAGAGATCGGACGCTTCGTTTTCTCCGTCTGGGGTCCCCGGAGATCTCGACCCTCTCTGGGGGCCGCCTCTTCCCCCCGCGGGAGTAGCCTTTGTCTGTTCGGGGGCCAGGCGG